GCCATCGAGCCCCAACCCCAGGTCTGGCTCCCGGGGGGGGCCCCGGTGACCCGCGTCCGGGCAAGGGAAAACGTGTTTCCATAATTTTTTCCATCATATGGGGTCTTTTGAGCCGAACTTTGTCTGGTTCCTCACCCCGGACCTGTTTGCCTTGGGTGACCCTACCAGGGGCATAAAGCCCCGGGCAACTTAGCTCCTGGGATCACTGGAACACGCAAACCCCTCCACCACGATAAGGTGTCGGCTCCAGGACACCTTATGAATACATTATTCATTATTAGTTGTATCGCACAGTATGCTGCATTCCCAAAAACTCAGAACCTGAAAACTTCCAACCTCCTACTTAAAAGAGTACCATAGAACATCTGAACAGAATGCAAATGAACATAATGCAAAAACTATGCCAGTGAATGCTAAATCTGCTAGCATTTGATACTCGCTAGCGTATAACATGTGATACTCACAGGCGTGCTAGGAGGAATTAGCACACAGTAAAAATATAAAAAGAATAATAATTGCACATAGTATATAATAATGTACAACATGTGAAGAGTAAATAAGCGGCTCTATGGTTTCACGTCACTGTCGTGTAAATGCACACAAACACACACACACACATGCGGGAGTCTGGATATCAGGAGGAGATTTTTTCACTTGGGTAATACCTGACACCCTTAAACATGCATGAACCTGCGGGCTTAATCGTTTGAGGAGCACGGCTGACCTGACCTTGGCTTTGGCGCGGTGCTGCTCCTCGCAGATGCGGATGCCTCCTGCCATGTGGGTCAGCTGGGGAGACAGCAGGGAGATGGCTGGGGGAGGAGTTGGACTCGCGACAGGGCTGAGCTCAGGCTCGCCATTGCTCGCCTCCTGCAGGGGGTCCGGAGGAGGAGTGAGTTGTTGCCCTCGACAGGCAGAAAATTCAAGCACCGATTGCCCAGTCAGCTAAACAACAGCAACAACAGACAGAAGCTGAAACTTCACCATTTCAAGCAGACTTAATGCACTAGGTTGCAGCCACAAAAATGCTGAAAGAGCACCTGTCGAGATTCATTAACCTGAACACAAATAGAACAGCACTGATATAAACACAACGCTAACATGAACAATAGTTTATTTTCAAATCACCTGCTCTTCTTCCCCCTCTGTGTTGGCGGGAGGCCGCAGCAGGCGGGCGAGGGGGGAGAGGGGGCTTGCAGCCGACAGCTTGGGGCTGGTGGGGCAGGAGACAGAGGTGGGAGCACCAGCAGAAATGCCCGGGCTGCGGTCACGAAGAGGAGAGCCCAGGGAGCAGGGCTTCAGCAGGGACTGGGGGCTGAGTCTGGTCAATATGAGGCCGGAAATGGCAGGGAGGCTGGGGGGCATGCTGCACCCCGACAAAACGTCCTGTGGAGGAGAACAATGCAGAACATGATGAAACGCAAAACTGAGCACTACAGTTGCTCCTCCTTACCCACTGCATCGAAAGGTATAAAGGCACTTCTATTTAGAATGGACACTTAATATCGATATTCCATTTGCACGACTGCATAACAATTGTTTTCCTTTAATATCACTATTTAATTATGGATGTAGTTCAAATTATCACAAAAGAAAAAGATGGGTTTACAATGTACAAAGTGCGATGGCATACCACGCCGGTACGATCGTTATGCATGAGCACTGGAAGGGAAAACATGCAGGCACTATTCTAGATCGCCAGAAAAGGCAAAACCACTGTATTGTTTATTCATGTTTATTAAATTGCCATTAGTACAGACAGCTTTTTCATGTCCTTTGTCTTTGTAGCTGCTAAATAAACTCATTATCAAAGTCAAAGTTAAATGCCAACTATATCAGAATCTCCATTGCATAAGTGTTTGTGAAAATGTTTAGGCTAAAATCTGGGCATGTTCTGCGTTGATTGATGGTGCCAGAGTGTACATTCCTGCACGTTGGACTTGCTGGGACTAGTGTCATCATTGCAAATTAACACAAACGAAAACGGACACTAAATAAAAGACAATAATTCGTGAACTAGAAAAAATTAAAACTTTAATCTGCAAAATGTACCGCCACACCACCATCTTATCCTGTTTACAGTATCTGCTCCTTCAAAAGATGCTGTGGCTGTAATCTGTCCCTTCCTTCATCGCGACTTCAGTCCTAATCGCTTGTGTCCAAAGAGGCGTACTCCACTAACTTAATTTAAGCATGAGCATATGCCAAATTTATACAGATGACTAACTTTTGGGCATCGCGATACGCATCTCATTGATATTTTTAGACATACTGTTAATTTGCTTATGGAATTTGCGGCGAAAACAATGTCCATATATTGCCGAAAAAGCCGGCGTACATAATCTAAAGCCATGCAATGGCTTCACAAATGAAGATCATTAATATTGTAATAACTCATTAAAAATGATGTTACTGAAATACTGAAGCACTTATAAGAACAAGCCTGCTAGTAAACAGACCAGTAACCTAGTTATGCAGCACATGACAGAACGCTGTTGGGGCGCATCTACATGTCCTTGGCAAGACACACACGCTAAAACCAACGCTGCTAATTCTGACATTTGCCTGAAATTATTTATTTTTAAAAAGAATTTATAGTAAGTTAAGATGATGGACATACTTCTCATGTAACTTATTCGGGAACGACTAGTAAAACTGACCTATTCGGCTTGTTCATGATGGCGATCATGTGTTTTCATATGTTCAAACTAACCAAGTTATAAGGAACCACGTTTCAAAAACGAACATACGATCTCTACATTTGAAACCACAAGACAGTTTAGGCATGTTAATCGTTAGTCTGGCTGATAAGTAACAAACAGCAACCATGCTAATAGTTACCTCGCCCTTTTCAAGCCAGTCAGGGCTGTACTTGAGTCTCCCTTTGGGGGAGTTCTTCAAGGCTTCCAGCGTGCTCCAGCGCAGACTTTCAGCAGGCATCTTTAGCGGTGAAAATCCTCAGTTTCATACACTTTTGTAGGACATGAAAACGCCGCATACAGCCTACACTCAACCGGAACCAGAATTACCACAGACTTCCGCTTCCGGTAAAGGATTCGTAATAACCGAATTTCAAATTACTTTTCCCCATGACTCCCTGCAGTTTAAGCGTCTGAATTTTACCCTTCATTAATTTCTGCATCAAGCTTTATGATTAACGTAATTTAGTGTCAGTTATGCCCGGAGTGTACAGTTTAGTTTGAGTCACATTCATTTCTTGGTCCAACCATTTCCACTGTATTTGTTAATGGGGACTGGATAAATGGAAGGTGCAACACCAAGTTTAGTCAAATTTATGGGTTTAACTTTCAGATCTCACAATCTTTATCTCGATTGCCTCTTACCGGAGCATGTTTCATAGTTTTACAGCCCTACCGTTGTTTGCTGCAGCGTACATTTTACCACAGTGCGCAAAACTCATTTGGAAAAAGCTAGGCAAACTTAAACAGACGTGGTGTAATCAATTTAATTTTCCTGTGAGTGACAATCATGCAGTTTTGATTCCTAGAACCTAAATAGTTGAAACATCAAACCCCTTCCCATGTTTTACATCTGACTTCACTGTACGGTCATAGAGTAACCAAGCTTTCTAAAATATACATACACTTCAATAATACTTATACACTGCCAGTTTAAAAAAGGGTAGAGACTTTATGCCACATGTTTAGAGGGGTGGTGGGGTGGGTTATATTATACATAGGAAGTCTTCAGTAATTAAACATAGCTCTGGGGGCTGCAGTTGCTGCTGTCTGCCTGATCCAAGTGGTCCCTGTACCTGGTTCTGGAGCCACCGTTGAGCCTGGGGAGGGGGTGTGGAATAACAACCCACAGAGAAAGAGACACACGATCACTGAAGGACAGGTAGGGATGCAATCTCAAACTGACAGGTTCAGATATTGTTTGGATCACAGCCTAACCCCAGGAGTGCAGGAGGAATTTTTTAAGTGAGTTGGACCAAACACTGAGCAAAAGGTCTCAAATTTTAAGCTTACCCAGCCATGCTTGTTGAGGCATTTGGCATAATTTGGGCTAGAGGTTTATAACACTAAACATTTGATTGACGGTAGCCAACATGTATATACTGTTAGTTTGCTGTCTTGTATGGAGTTGCCAATCACCCACAAATGGCCTTTTGGAAAATAGCATAAGCATCAGATAGCCTTTTCTATGATGTGTTGCAAGTTTAAATGAACTGAGCCACAGAATACTGTAATGGTGCATATTTTGTGAAGACACATTCATAGATTTATTGCTTTATTCTAACAGATGATTTCATGTTAGGTCATACTTAAATGAAATCGTTAGCTTTGCTGCAATAAGACAAATGACAAATGGACACATTGATTAGTCTCAGTATAACTCACTTTATTCCAAGCACTGTAAACATCCAATTATTAAAAAAATATAAAGCTACAGAGGGAGATATCGGCAGGTGGAGAGACGCAGATACAGAGGCAGACATGGACAGGTGGAGGGATGCAGATACTGATGCAGACATGGACAGGTGGAGGGATGCAGATACTGATGCAGACATGGACAGGTGGAGGGATGCAGATACAGAGGCAGACGCGTGTATCTTCAGCTGCAGTTCTGCCATGGTGCCACTCTGCTTGGCGCTGTGCGTCTCATGGGTGTGAATGCGCTCCTCTGCCTCACGCAGCTGCTGGTCCAGCCCAGCTCTTGCCACCTGTACCTCCTTTTCCGCTAGCTCCAACCTCACGCCTCGCTGCTGCACCTCCATGCGTGCCGTCTGCAGCCGCAAAGCACAGTGAGCTGGGACATGCTCAACTTGCAATCAGTGAGCACCAGCCCTCCTCACGCGAGGTCCTGTCCTACCCGGGTGTGTCGTGACCCCAATATCCTCCTTTAGCACAATTAATGACACTGGCAAACTGAGATGTGTTGCTCAGTAAGTTAGGATGCCAGTGTAATGGCGCTGGTTCGCATCCTGTGGTTAGCTAAGTGATTTCATAGTTGCATCCTTGAGCAAAGCCCTTAACCCCTAGTTGCCCCAGGGACTGGATAAAAGCATCTGCTAAATAAGTAAAATGTGATCACACACTAAGATTGTTTACGCAGACCTATTGGGATCACTTCCTATAATTATAAAGTGGATTTGGGATTTCTCTACGTGGCCCCCAGACTTGAGTACTTTCTACACCAGTGACCAAACTAATTAAAAGTGACCTCTCTTCCTGTCCAGGAATATGGTTCATAGTTAGTAATTATTATTCTTACTACTACTAGTAACTACACCATTCCAACCCACAATGGTTACACTACACTGCTGCGTCGCTATTTACTAAATAATCATGTTTGGTGTTAGTGTGGCCACCTGGCTGTCAAGATGCTTGACTGTGGCCTTCAGCTGCTGCCTGTCAGACCTCAAAGACATCAGCTTCCCCTCCAGCACTGACAGTCGGGCCTTAAAAGGAGAAAACAGGGGAAACACGTAGCTTTCTGTTAGTGTTAGCTAGCTAGTTCTGTGTGTGAGACGGCTAAACGCAAACAAGGTAAACCCCAATTGTTCCATGTGGAAAATAAATTACTGTAAATGATTTGTTTGTAAATAACTTTACAGTCTTAAAGCATACATTTTTGTCTTAATGTATTTCCCTACAGTTAAGTTGCACTAATCTGATTGGTGCTAACTTTAGAAGCAACCTGTAACCCTGGAAATTAAGGCTCTATTTCAGCAGAACTCAGAAATGGGGTGCCGACCCCAAAGCATACTGTAGCAAACAGTAGTATGCTGTAACCCTGGAGATTAAAGCTGCATTGCAGCAGAACTCAGAAATGAGGTGCTGACCCCAAAACATACTGTAGCAAACAGTAGTATACTGTAACCGTGGAGATTAAAGCTGCATTGCAGCAGAACTCAGAAATGGGGTGCCGACCCCAAAGCATACTGTAGCAAACAGCAGTATACTGTAACCCTGGAGATTAAGGCTGCATTGCAGGGGGCACCGACCCCACACCAACCCCATAGCATTCTGGGAGCAGTGAAGTCCCAGGCCCACTATGAGTCTCTGGTTCTCCAGGCTGGTGCTGGCGCTGTCGGACGTGAGGCGGTGGAGCCGGTTGAGTAGCCCCATCCTCTTGAGCCAGACCTCGTCCTCGATGCTGTGCAGCTGGTTCTTTAGGTCGTCATCTGGCTGGGTGGTATATAGGAAGCAGGTCAGCAAAGCAGGTGGAGGGGGGCTAACCTGACTACTCAGACTATGATTCATGCTGCCCTTTTCTCTGTTTATGCATCATTTCCCTTTGACATTATAAGTTCTGGAAAAAGTAAGAGACCACAGCAAAAAATTCAGTTTCACTCGTTTCCCGATTTATGGGTTTGCAAACAGCAGCCTGGTTCTTCGCTGTTTCTCATTAATGAAGGGCTTCTTCGTTGATTTATGGGAATTCAATCCTGTTTCTAGGAGCCTGATACGAACTGTGCTAGCAGTGCACTTCACACCTGCACTTAATGTTTCCCATTCCTTTTGAAGGCCACTTGATGTCATCCTCCAATTCATGAGGCCCTGTTGAAAAGTTAACTGTCATCTCTGGCATTAGAAAGTTGCTTCCGCCCTCTGCCTTGCTGGATGGTGGTCGTTTTCAGTGTCTCCTGCTTCACCTTGTTTTTGTTTACTGCAGTCTTAGAAATTTTGAGCCTGGAAACAACCTGCCACTCAACATAGCCTTCTGCCAGCAGAACCATGATTAAGACAGGATTTAAAAATGCAGATTTTATAAAATATGGTGTGCTCTCTAATTTAATTTTGATCAACTTGTATGTTGACTTAAAGTCTGAATAAACAAGGTGATTGAGCAGTGGTGAAAGATGGATGGCTAGATTGTTACCAGGGCTTGACCAACCCTTTTTGATTGATCTAGGTGTCGTTTGTCATTTTCCTTCCCATTCGGACAGGCTGATCAGATCAGGGCCCCCTGGTGGCCGCTGGGCTGCTGAGTTTGCTTTGAGTAGCATTTACTGTTGCTGACTGCTTCTTGACCGCCCCAAGGTGCTATAATTCGAATGCTCCAGGAAACCCAGGCACTCGCATCTCCAGCTGGCTCTTCTCTTTCGCCACCTGGCAGTGGTGGCCACACCAGCTCTGGAGCATCTCCAGCCTCTGCGCACCGCGCTCTGCTGGCCCAGCAGTGTGCCGATTGCCGGAGATGGCCGTTTGTCCTGTGGGAAAGGACGAAACATAAGGAGTTCGCTCTCTCACTCTCACTGGCAGGAGGTAAGGAAGAGTTTGCCATCAGCAGCAGCCGCCATTCCATCAGGGAAACTAAGCACAACTGCTTCATTCTTCATCCTTGACATCTTACCCCAATACAGGGTTATGTTGAGCCTGTCGTTAAATTCATGCTACAAATGTAATGGATAAGTGTTATTTAAAAATGGACTCTGGTCTTCGAGGCAGCTGCCTCTCAGCCCTGGACCAGGTCACTCACACGCCGTGTTCCTCTCACACTCTCCTGCATGCCTGACAGCTGCTTAGCCACTGCCTCCCCATCTATCTCTGCCTCCATCAGCTTCCTCAGGAGGACATCCAGCCCCTGGAGCTTGAAGTCTGCCTCACACCTGCACACACTGTGGATTAGCCTCAGCGCTAAAGAGAAGAGAGGAACTGCACTCCAAAGGACAGTTACTAAGCCTTCTGACACCAGCTGTGGTCTCTATCCGCCCGCGTCCCATCCAGGGACTGATGCATGCAGCCATTCTCCCCCTCTGTGTCCTTGGCGTCCTCCCATTCCTTGGTGACCTCAACTGGTTCCTCTTCCTGCTCCTCAATCACACACTTCAAGGCTAGCAGCTGTCACTTGTCACAAAGTAGTGTCACACAAAAAGTACAGCAAAAGCAGCAAGCCAAAATGGCCAGAAGTGATAGGTCGGTAATTCATGCAGAGATGAAGCTGTCTGTCCTAGGCATGTCGTGGATGACCACACGATAAGGAAGACAATCGATTATTGCA